TACATAGAATTTACACAAAATATAAGTTGAAATTATATGATTTATTTCAGAGGGGTTTAAAGTACAGGTCGGGACCCCTCTTTGGGTCATGAAACACAAACTGGAGGGTCTTGAGCTAATCGATGGGAATAAAAACAATTGTTAAAATAGCTTCTTATAGCATATATTTGTCATATTGTGTACAAGAGATGGATATAGTTGTCCTTAATGCATGAAAAACAGTTTATAGAAACAGCTTTTGAGGTTGTTTGTGTTGTCATTACGTTCATGTTTGAGTAAATCGAACCGGAGCTAGGTGTCATTCAGATGGTGGAAAATTTATGAAGCATCAATTTATTTGATTTAGTAGATTTTAATTTTTCATTGTATTATTAAAGAGATTATTTTCTAGAAGGAGAGGGAAGTGGCCATGTGTGTTAACGAGCAGCAGACCTGCTTTTTGATAGAAAAGTGTCCACTTTCTGTTATACACACACACACACGTCTTAAAGGGCTTGAAGCGAAATGGGATTTCCGAAACAATTCTGGAACTTCCTAAATAAAAATTAAAGCTGCACGTCACAAAATAATTTTAAAAAAGTTTATAAAATCAGTAAACAGGAGTCAAAGAGGTTTTAAAACACATTAAGGTGCTCTGATTACACAACTCTTCTTGTTTCTTTGTTTTTCAGAGATGCTGAGAACTTACTGAAAGAAAAGGAGCTGGGATGTTTTTTGATTCGTCTCAGCGATAAGACCATCGGATACATACTGTCTTACAAGTGAGTACTAGTCCATAATAAGATGTTTTATGTATATGTCTAGGATAAATAAGTATGAGCAAAAGTTAATTTTTTTTAGTATTTAAATACTTCTAAGTCTGGTTCTCATTATTTAGTGCTGCTTTGACACATTTTAAATTATGAAAATAAGTGATACTATAAGTATTTAATGAAGATGTTTTTAAAATATTAATATGTCAATGCTACAATTACTAACTTGATACTGCTTCTAGCCTTAAATATTGACGGCTCACCTTATCGGTGGACATTTAGGCTGCAAAGCGCTAATTTTGGATGTTTCAGTGTTTTGCCTGTTCTCACATCCTGGAATGTTTGGAAGTACAGTAGTTCTATGGTTCCTTATGTATTTAAACTCTGAAGATTTAAAAGTATTGTAGTAAGTAAACATACAACAGAGGATAAAAATTGTCAGCACTAAAATGTCCTTTTTCCGTTGCAGAGGCAGAGATCGGTGTCGACACTTTGTGATTAGCCAAAGTGGGACGGGGCAGTTTGTGGTGTGCGGAGACACCGAGGGACACAAAACTCTACTTGAACTGATAAACTACTATAAAACGAGTCCCGTTGAGCCTTTTGGAGAGTATTTGACGTCTCCGTGCTTTAGAGTAAGCCAATGGTTTTTGAAAACAAAAACCACTACAAATGCTCACAGCACCTGACGTAAGAGGAGTGTAACTGTTGTTATTTATTTATGTATTTATTGCTCTTGCAGAATCACAGTGAAGAGATTTATGACATCATCCACGTTAGCCCCAAAGACAAACCAGAAGCCGTTCTAAGAGCTGCAAAGAACGGGCAAAAACACCACATTACCTCGATGTCAGACCACCCACAGACACGGCAACCAAAAGGCAACAAACCTGAAGAGGTGAGTACCTCAGTGGGAATGTAAGCTTTGTTGAAATATATTTCTTATACTTGACTGTAAGAAACAAACTTGTTGTTAAAAGCAGGAGGTGCCACCTTTGCCACGGAGAAGCAGGCACCTTGACAGCGGCGCCTTCACTGACGAACACGACAAGGTTATGTATGCTCAGCTCAAGAAGCAGACAGCCAGGGAGAACCAAAGAGGACAACATGTCTCACAGGACAGTTTACTGGGAGCCAGCCAAAGGAATGCTGAGAGGTCCACAGTCGAGAAGGAGAACAATGGCAGGTGTAGCCCCCCATCAGGACCAGAATCCATTTGCTACAAGCTCAACCCTCTGGATAACAAAAGCAAGTCTCTGCCACTGCTAGACAGCAGCTCTGACGGTGAGCAGTCTTACAGACTGAGCGTGCCTCCCAACACCCCACCAAGACTTTCCCCCAAGCCAGTCAGGCAGATGGCCAGCAATGCTCCCCAGCTGAACGGCAGCCAGAGTTTGGAAGGCGTGAGCGACAACTCTGTCTATCACCTGGCTGGTCCCATGTCTTTTAACGATGGATCATCGACGGCTGTGCATCAGAATGATTCTTTGTATGCTGAGGTCGCCATTGAAACCCCTGTTATCAGTCAGGACTGCGCATACGAGCTGCTCCCCGACCACAAGGAACCCGCCAAGCCCAAACCCAACAGCAAGCCTGTGGAGGACAGCAAACGCAAATACAACCACTCAAGCTGGGGAATAAAGGTTAGTGATGTGCGTTTGTTGAAATTCTCAATTATTCTTACTGCACCAAAATGACCAATATCTAATTAGATCGGAGTCATTGTGTTTGACAAAATGGTACTTCATCTAGCTACCTAATGTCACTAATGCTGTGCCACAAGGGTCCGTTTTAGGACTCACTGTTTTTACAATTTATATAAGTTATGTAGGTCAAAACATTCCTGACACATCCTTGCATCTCTATGCCCACAACACTGTTGTTTATTTCTGAGCTAACACAGCTGCCAAGGTTTTCCAACTTCTGCAGTCTGCATTTGACATCATTCAGTCACTTATTCCATCTCAAACTGGTGCTAAATGCTGACAAAACCAAAGGGATGTTGTTTTCCAACAGAAAGTCGGTGCCAGCAGTTCTTCCTCCTATCGCATCCATGCATGGTGTTCATAATGAGTTTGTGGATTCTTACAAATCCTTGGGAATTTTCGTTGATGCACATGTCTCTTTTAAACCACATGTTGAAAATGTGATAAAGAAACTGAAATTCAAACTGGGTTTATTTTTCTGAAATAGATCTTGCTGAACTCTGAATGTCAGAAAATGCCTTGTAACCGCTACTTTCCATTGACTATGGTGACATTATTTACATGAATGCCCCTGCCAGCTCCTTGCAGATGTTGGATGCTGTCTATTACAGTGCACTAAGATTCATAACTGGTTGTAACTACCGTACCCATCACTGCACTCTCATTGGTCAGCTGGTCATCATTTTCTACACGCAGGCTCTCACACTGGTTCATCTTCATCTATAAATCCTTCCTTGGTCTGCTTCTTACATCTCCTCCCACATGTCACATCATCAGTGCAGTTGCAACATGCGCTCTCAGGACATCATTACCTGCAGTGTTCCCTCAGTACAGACTGAACTTGTTAAAAGGGCTTTTCTTACTCTGCTCCTGTAACCTGGAACACCTTGCAACAAGAACTGAAGCTGTCCACTTCAATTTCTTTAGAGGTTTTTAAACAATTGATAAGGTCAATAGAAACATCAACGCAAATACGTTCTTGTTTTTAGTATTTTATCTTGTTTTATGACACCTTGATTTTTTGTTTTATAACACTACTTTTATTTTAATTGCATTTTTACTGTAGTTTATTGTTGTTTGTACTTCATATGTTGTCTGGTAAATGAGTCCTCGTGATTCAATGAGACTAACCTGTATAAATGAAGGTTGAATGAATACATGAAACTAACATATTTCCCCCTTTTAGAATGACAAATGGAAATGGCTCTTCCCCGAGGCGAAGAGGAAATAAGCAGCTGTCGTACCAACAAAAGAAGAAACGTTTACTCATTTGACACTATTCTGATAAACTCTATAACAGCCGTTATTTATATATCAACAGCCTTTTAATGTATATTTATTTAAATTGTTGAAACTGTCTTTGGGATTTTGTTATCTATGAACGTCATTGTAATAAAAATATACATGAAAATGTCCTAAAACTGTTTTATTGAACCACTTCCTCTAAATGAGAGGTGTTTGAATGTTTATTTTTAGAACTATAATTACAACGGGAAAAAAAA